TTTCCAAAATTTCGTAAAAATTCATGAAAATAAGGCTCGACCGCTTAACAATTTTTTTAGAGAGAAGTTTCTCAGTCGCGGTTATGTTGCGCGTTGAGGTTCTTAAATAGGACAGAAAAACTGGTTATTTCCGTGAAAACGCTTAAAATAGATATTTTACACTCAAATCAGAGACAAAACAAATGCTTGGGCGCGCTTCTGACGCCCCCAAATCTTTTATTAATGTTTGTTAGAATCTATTTATATATCTGGATTATCCTATAAATCCGTTGTAATTGCTTGTAAAAAACTATAAAGTATATGTTTTGTACGCATCCTGTGTAACCTATGTAGACTATGATCTCTTAAGAAGTGTATGCAATATAGTGTAGCCATCCCTCCTCGGCTCCTTTAAGAATATATGAACGGGAAAAGTAATTGTAGATTGAAATTCAAGCTACAATTCAGACAATGTTTATATATGAAAAGATTATCAGAAAACAATCTCATCACGAAACACAAGCATATTTATTTTTAAATGAACAGGGTTGTCTTCAAAGCATCATTTATATAATCAACAAAATTTCCTACTCTCGGTTGGCCACCTAGCCTGTCCTCGCTGCAGCGCTTGGCCCCCCTTATGTAGCCTGCGGAGGAACCAAGACTAACCTATTCCTAATTTTTTTAATCAAATTTTTTTTTACTTGAGAGTAGACAACTTTAAATTAGTTGTATGAGTCACTGTTTCAATTTATAGGCGTATTTTACTCTCTAATCCTTGTATCATTGCAACCTGATTTTGTAAACCTTTGAACTAATTCAAATAGTCAAAAGTTGAATTATCACAAATATAGGGAGAGGAAAATTTTAAGATGCAGTATATTACACTTTTTAGGCGAGTAACCAGGTCCTCTGAATTTATGGCAAAGAAAAGAAAGCATATTCTGTAAAGTGATTTTAGATGTTTTTTTACGCCCCCCCGGCCCCCCTTTATTGACCAACCCTACAACTCATTTTATTTAAGTCGAGGAAAATATCTGTAATTTAATCCAATCAGAGCTGAAGTGAGAATCCTTGATGACGGTCCATGATTGGATAATGGTAAACTACATTATTGAGTTACACCTTATTTTGTACAATATAATATAATACAGACTAGAAATAATACAATGGGCCCTATGTTTGAATGATCAAAACTAGTACGGGTCTATGTAATGGGGTAGGATATATATATAGAGTTTATTGTGAAGGGGGTAGGATATATATATAGTTTAGTGTGAAGGGGGTAGGATATATATATAGTTTAGTGTGAAGGGGGTATGAAATATATTAAGTTTAGTGTGAATGGGGTAGGATATATATATATAGAGTTTATTGTGAAGGGGGTAGGATATATATATAGTTTAGTGTGAAGAGGGTAGGAAATATATTAAGTTTAGTGTGAATGGGGTAGGATATATATATTGAGTTTAGTGTGATGGGGGTAGGATATATATTTAGTTTAGTGTGAAGGGGGTAGGATATATATTGAGTTTAGTGTGAAGGGGGTAGGATATATATTTAATTTAGTGTGAAGGGGGTGGGATATATATTTAGTTTAGTGTGAAGGGGGTAGGACATATATTAAGTTTAGTGTGAAGTGGGTAGGATATTTATTGAGTTTAGTGTAAAGGGGTAGGATATATATTTAGTTTAGTGTGAAGGGGGTAGGATATATACTGAGTTTAGTGTGAAGGGGTAGGATATGTATTAAGTTTAGTGTGAAGGGGGTAGGATATATATTTAGTTTAGTGTGAAGGGGGTAGGATATATATTAAGTTTAGTGTGAAGGGGGTAGGATATATATTAAGCTTAGTGTCAAGGGGGTAGGATATATTTAGCTTAGTGTGAAGGGGGTAGGATATATATTAAGTTTAGTGTGAAGGGGTAGGATATATATTGAGTTTAGTGTGAAGGGGGTAGAATACATATATAGTTTATTGTGAAGGGGGTAGGATATAACTGACTGGAATATTTACCGTTAGAAGTGGGTTCAAGTGCATTCTAGAGAGGAGAGAAGTGATCAGCAGCAATCTTGCAGTTCTTAAACTAATTCCAAGATATCGAATATTTGCAGGATATATATAAAATTATATGCATATATACATACATGTATATATACAGGGTAATAAATAATGATTAGCGTTGTTTTGTAAAACATTTTTGTTTGCTTTGGATTGAGGCACAAAAATATTAAAATGGGAAGAAAAAATTCAAAAATATTTGGAATATTAAAAAATCGGCAATACCAAAAAATAATATTATTACAAAATTGATGGAAAAATGTTGTTTTTATTGTTTTTCCAAAATTTCATAAAAATTCATGATTAATTAAAACAGATATAACAAAAAGTCTGCAAAAAATTTTAGGTGGAAATATGCAACTTAGAAGTTTTGAATAATAATAGAAAAAATATTTTCCCATACAGTAGTTTAGAAATTTTCTTTTTTCAAAACAAATTGGTTCACGGATTTTTTTTTCAATGTTCCAAAGATATATCTTAATTTTTTTGGTCCTAGAAAATATGGAGACTAAATAAGGGATAGTTGGCTATTGGATGAATTAGGGGGCGGAGTCAAGGATTAGATGAGAAGAAACAAGATTAGGGGGCGGAGCTGGAGGGGGTGGAGCAGGGGGGCGATGACAGGAACTTGATATATTGGAGGATGGTATCACACAATAAACCTGCAGTGCAAAAAAGGGAAATGAAAGAGGATTAAAAATGAGCAATTTAAACATTAAATTTTGAATTGATTAGTGAACTTGTATTATTATATCTGATATTTATATAATTTCAGAGGTTTTACTAAACGTCTCCAATGAACCCAAAAAACAACAGTACTAAGAATACAACCCTTTTGGCAGAAAATAAAACTGTAACAACGTCAAACTTTCGCAAAAGAAAAAAAAATGAGATTCGATTGTTACCCGATCATACCCTGCAGATAAAAATTATCAGTAAAAGAAGATTCATAATTTGTTAACGACTTTTTTGCCAATAATGTTCTAAATCATATATATTTTTTCATTTTACTTGGCAAAACGGCTGGACCAAGATGCTGAAAATTTTTAGGGAACCCATGGGCACCCGAAAGTGACATTGGCTAAAAATTTTAAAAACTGCGCCATGTTCATTTTCATGTGACTCCCGCCGATTACCCGCGCTTGGACGAGCCTCTTCGTTTTTAAAACCCAGGCCACGCCGCACCGGGTCCGGTGTACTTCAGTTAGTAGCATTTTATTGTTATCCTTTGATGAAGTTTTGATTAGAAAAAAGAAACTAATGTACAATATAGAATTGTATAATGTCTGGTTTATATACATTTATTGCAAAAGCGAGAAACTTTACATCTAAATCATATTTGATCATATATCCAAGTTCATGAAAACTTTTCTTCGCTTGTGTTTAAAACAAAATTTATATTGTTAAAGTTTTCTAAATTTATATTTTTGGAGAAACGACATATCACTGCCAAGCGCACATACAGAAATACATCTAGTGGGTGGCAAAATATGGGGGCAAACAAATGTTTGCCCCCCCCCCCCCTAAGAGCTTCTAGGGGGTGGAATTTGAACCGTAAATTCAAAACATTTGGCTTCTTGGATACTTTGAAGATACACATACAGTCCAATTACCTTACAACTACTACTTTATCTCTCCTTTAAACAAAACTAACAGAAAAAAAACAGAAAATAAATTTTTTTTAATACTCTTCACTCTTCAGTTTCAGATTTGAAAAGTGTGATAGGTCTGAATTCTAGGGGGGGGGGGGGCTAAGCCCCCCTTTACAGATCTAGTTGGGGGCACTGCCCCCTTGCCCCCACCCGCTGTTTACGCCCTTGATCACTGCAAAATCAATATACTCAAAAATACGAATTTTATCAGGACACTATCTTTTATAAACCTAAATTCTAAATTTGAAAATATTAAAAACAATTTTTGAATCTACATTCAACATCAAAATTTCCCAAATAATTAGCTACGAGTCGAAATTTTTAAATAAATTTTTTGGCATGTGTAATATTTTTTATTAATATAGCGTCGGCGAATTTTTGAATCAAGACATCTTTAACTGATAAAACTTTAGGAAAATAGAATTATAAAATATGCATTCATACAAAAAATAAAGTTATGAAAAATCCTGATAAATTTTTTTTATCAAAAGATAATAATTAGCGTTTATAACAAATTTTTCTCAAATTTTTGAAGAATTTGCAGAGTTTAAAATGAAATAATGTGTTGAGTCAGATATTTGCAAAATATTCGCACAACTCTTCTTTCTAGATAAAAAGAAGATTACTTCTAGTTTGCCCAGTTCAGTTGTATATTGCATAATGTCATATTGATTAAGTATTTTTTTTAATGTTACATCTTCAATTCTAATTAACTGTTTTCGGAGACTGTTCTACTATAGAGAGTTACACACAAAGGATGAGACTTCAAAGACGACCAACGGAATCTTACCCGGTGTTTATTTTCTTAATTGATTGTTCTCTGATGCTTAGATTATTTTCATTCTGTGCAACCATA